TTTTTGTGTAGTTATTTCTTTTCATGTAAGCAATATGCATTCTAAATGTGAACTTAATCGGATCATAAATACGGGTTTTCCAAATATCTCGACTCCTGCGCCACCTGTCGGCAAAATTTTTTTTCGGATTTATTTCTTTTCATATAAGTCATATATGTTCTAAATATGAACCACATCAGACTATAAATGGGGGTTTTACAAATATCTCGACTCCTGCGCCACCTATCGGCAACATTTTTTTCGGGATTTATTTCTTTTCATATAAGTAATATATGTTATAAATATGAACCAAATCAGACTATAAATGCGGGTTTTACAAATATCTCGACTCCTGCGCCACCTAGCGGATTAAAACATCTTTTAAATTGTGTTGTCCTCGAGTTCTGAGCTAAGTTTGAAGTTTCAAGTCTGTAGCTCATCGGGAAGTTTGTTAAATATTGACTGCAAAGTTCCAGGACATACATACATACATACATACATACATACAAGTGAAGTTAAATAAAAGCTTGTAAAATGAGGAAGTTTACACAATTTTCAGTGTACACTTGAAAACTCACAGTTGCAGAATAGAGCCCCTGCCCACCTTTACTTCATAGACTTTGAAATATTTCTGCTTCAGGATTGTATGAAATAAAACTGTGAAGTGTATGAAGTACGAAGTGTCTCCTGTCATCAAACAAACAGTCAGCACATTCGGGCTTTGGCACCCACATCACTGTTGACAGTTATAATTTCGAGAAAGTAGAGAATTTCGTTTACTTGGGAACCAGAATTAACACCGATAATAATGCCAGCATGAAAATCCAACGCAGAATCGCTCTAGCCAACAAGTGCTACTTTGGACTGAGTAGGCAATTCAGGAGTAAAGTCTTCTCTCGACGTATGAAAACCATAAGTCTATAAGTCACTCATCATGCCGGTGCTGGTATATGGCGCAGAAGCATGGACAATGCAACATCCGATGAGGCGGCTCTTGGAGTATTCGAGAGAAAGATTTTGCGGAAAATTTACGGGCCTTTACGCGTTGGCGACGGCGAGTACCGCATACGATGCACAGTGGTCAATAAATGGAATTTAATGTTCATAATTCACTGGAGCCTTCATTTCTCATCCGATTTGATTAATTATTTTTTTAAATGAAAGCTAATAAAATTTGCAAGAGACTAGTTAAGCCCAATTTTCGAATTTTTATTTTTTTGTACAAAATGCAGAAATTGCGCCAATTTTGAAGAAGACCGATTCTCCTGTTCCAGCTAATAAATATTTCATAATAAAAACTAGCTAAAAACAATTGTAGGGTTCTCCTAAAACAAAAAATAAATTTAAAAGTAATAATTTGAAATGTTATAAAAAATGTTACCAAAAGTATTTTTTTTGTTTTTATAAAAATTTTGGGTGTGCAGTTTTATAGATTACTAAATTTTAGTATATCAGTGCATGTTGCAAGTCGCCGTGAGGCCTTTTGAAAAATGCTACAAGGCGTCTCAAATATAGCATCTAAACTAACCGCAAATTAGATTTTGCTTTACAAATTTTGTGCCACCGGAGAACCCAACACTAAAAGAGAAAAGTTCCCTACAACTTTGGCATTTGAATATGCTACGCATTTTTATCAGAACTTGTTGAAAAATCACGAAAACAGTAACAATGCAACAAATTTCGCACTTTTTGCTAATTATTTACAATAAAAATTTAATTATTTAAGTTTGTAGTATATAAAACATGTGGGCAATTAAATTCTCTACAAATTTGTATACAACCGATTTTACGAAAAATGCAAAATAATCTTGCAAATCGCAAAAACTCAAAAAAAAAAACCTATAATCCAGATAGCGAAATGTTCCGGTATGAAATTCAGGGGCGAGCCTGTGGATCCATAATCTACGTGTAAAATAGAAGTAAACTGCATTAAGAGTTCGCTATTACATTTTTTTTCTACGAACCAATTTGATCTAAATTTAATCGAGTAAACATTGCCCACTGGAAACATATTTGGGCGGTTCACAAGGTGTTGTATGCTGTTGTATCGTTGTATAGTTTTATTGTTTTACAACTATTGTATCAGCATTGTTGCTGTTTTACATACGAAATTTGAATAACAATCATACAACTCAACAGCCTATGTTTATTGAGTGTGCTATTCGATCAATGTATTTAACAGGGTGGTGTTAGCCGTATATAAGTAAAAACTTACACTAACAAATTATACGCAGATATCCATATTATCATAGGTATGAGTCATGATACAATCAGCCCTATCGCTAATTCCATATGAATAAATTGTTCCCTTAATTTAACGTGCAAAACAAAACCAAATTGGGAAACATTTCTTTTGTTTTGCTTTATAATTTGGGACCAGTTCGGAAGGTCTTTCCTGAAACTGAGGTATTGCTCCCATAGGGCCACTGTTTTCCCAGGAAGCTTGGAGGTAACTGGGTAGATCAGAATGGGATCCCAGCTTTCGGTGGAGACTTGCAATCATGAACTGTCTACAAATTGAATTACCTTGAAGTTATATATGTATATGGCCCAAATCGCCGAAAACGAAACCAAGGAGAACATTTTTTTTTCTCAGGTTTCGCAGATTTTGGATTATTCCTGGGTCATGCATATTGTAAGGTATCGGATAACATCAATATTAATACGAATCTCCTTCTCTCGAACATGAAAATTCACTTAATCTTGAGACACCTTTAAATAAACGAAAATTTAAAAAGTACAACATGAAACTAAAGGGTATATTTAAGGTCCACCACTTTTTTGCATTATACTTGCCTCTCTTCGCTTGCCTTGTATTATTTTAAAGTTAATAAAAAAAAGTGTTCGACAAAAAAATCAGGAATTCGCTTTCTATATGAAAATCAAGTCCGCAGTATTTTTTAATATAATGTAACAGCCCAAAATACTAAAAAGTTTTTTGGCGCGGAATCCACCAAGCTAAAAAAGGGAAAATATAGTTTTCTTTGAGCATTTTCGGCCTTATTTCACAGTAAAATGAAATAGTTCCAAATACTCTTCATTACCAATATGTTTTCGGTGGGAAGCTATTTGTAACGTAACAGTCTTTTGAACTAATTTAATTTTTACCCACCCTTGTTTTCCTATTTAGTTAAACATGGGGCTCATTTAAAACTTTTTTTTTTTCTAACTTATGTAAACTGAAAAGATAAGAATTACTTAGACTAATAAAAAAACGTGAGAATTATAGAAAAGAACGAACTCAAAAGAAGCGGAATGAGAAGCTAAAAGAACAAGAAGATTTTCCGATTAAATAATAAAAAATCTATTGAAATTATTTCGACTATTTTTCTAGTACTACAAAAAGTCCTAGAATCTAACATTTGAAGGGTAAGAATAGTACTAAATTGCATAGAGAAAACAAAATAAGCCATTAAACCCGTTTTTCGTGAAATTAACCGCGAAAAACTCAACATCTTGGCGCAGTTCAGCTGCACAGCATTAGAAACTTTGAAATCTGTATTCATAATTATCATGTTCTTAATTTCTTTGGATTACTTGTCACATCGCAAAACTACTGAATTCAGCTACTGTCGTATATCTTTGCACGTGTGACTTCTTTATTGTAATGACATTAAATTGACAGTGATTACACAAGTGCCGGAAATAATTCAGATTCTCTATCTATGACATTCATATGCTTATGCTACATTTACATTTATATATGACATCTCTCCACCACCTATTTTCATAAATATAACAAGTAATTTTTAGCAAAAAAAAAACCGACTTAAAAAAAAAATATATATATATCTATATATTTCATGATCCAATGATCGGATCTAAACCAAATTAGTACGGGACCACCTCTGAGCCACTACCTTTCCGTTGCAAACGAACTGATAACCTCCTCCTTTTTTGGAAGTCGGTTAAAAAGCGATCTATGTATGTATTACATTTTCAATTCAATATCTTAACGTGTTATACAAGATTCAAGTTTATTTTCATTTATATGCACTTAATAACTACAAATTATTTTTTTTTTAAGATGGTTTCAACTACATAATTTATTTTAATTACATTGGAGCCGGTCTGGTTCATTTCGAACTCTCTCCGATCGCCTTAGATGTACTTCGGTACCTGAGTTCTGCTCCGTTGGTGCGTATGCTACATGTGGTTGTGTTTGCGACTGTATTGTTTCTTCGCGTTGGTCATACATCTCACCATGCACGCCAACTTTTATCTGCTCGGGAGCCATAGGTTGAATAAGACGATTAGGTAATTGTTGACCCACGTTGCGTATTTGCTCGACGTGGCGTCTCCATATTCTTCCATCATCAAGTTGAACTTCGTAATGGATATCACCGCGTCTGGAAATGATATTGCCAAATTGCCAGCGTTCACTCGACAAGTAATCTCGCACTGAGACCCTCTCNAGGTAATTGTTGACCCACGTTGCGTATTTGGTCGACGTGGCGTCTCCATATTCTTCCATCATCAAGTTGAACTTCGTAATGGATATCACCGCGTCTGGAAATGATATTGCCAAATTGCNATATCACCGCGTCTGGAAATGATTTTGCCAAGTTGCCAGCGTTCACTCGACAAGTAATCTCGCACTGAGACCCTCTCGCCTTCTGCGAAAACCTTTTTGGTAATCTTTTTGTCCGTATTACCGAGCGTAGTTTGCGGTAGTAGAAAATCTAAGCGAGTTTGAATTTGTCGACCAAACATAACCATGGCTGGACTTTTTTCTGTAGTCGGGTGGATTGCTCTTCGGTAGCTGAGCAAAATGTTTTGCAACTCTTTATGCATTGAGACTGGTTTAGTCATAGCTGCTGTCAGCTTCTGTTTATCTGTCTGTATTAACCTTTCGGCCTGCCCATTCGTTGCCGGATGATAGGGAGCACCTTGCTTGTGCACTATGCCATTCGTTCTCAAGAACGCTTGAAACTCTTTAGAGTTAAACTGGGTGCCATTATCACTTACTAATATATTCGGTATACCAAAAGTTGCAAAAATGTCTCGGCATTCGGAGATAGTTGTATCGGTCGTCATATTGTTTACAATTTTTACAATAGGCCACTTGCTATAGGCATCTACCAAGACGAATAAATACTTGCCATACATTGGACCTGCGTAATCCACATGCAGGCGCTCGAAGACTTTACCCGGTCGTGCCCAACAATGTACAGGAACCGCGACTGGATCGGATCGGATGCTTTGGCAGGATACGCAATTATAAACCAATTTCTCCATATCGCGGTCTAGGTTAGGCCACCAGCAATAAGAACGCCCTAGTGTTTTCATTTTGATCATTCCAAAATGACCGCTGTGTAATTCGCTAAGTACGTTTTGTCGTAGTGCTGTGGATATATACACACGGAAACCTCGTAAAAGGCAACCTTTCCGCAAAGTGAACTCTATTGTGGAATTCCAAATCGTTGCTTCGCCTCACAATCGCGGCCGTATTTTAGGCAATCTACCAGGATTTTAACCTCTGGTTCTTTAGCTGTTGCTGCACCCAAGTCTTCTGCAGTAACTGGTAAGTTATCTATTAACTGCGCTGTTATCACATCTACTTCTTCTACAAAACAATCGCGCTTTTGCGTTGCAAGTCGTGACATGGCATCAGCATTTGCATTTGCTTTACTGCTTTTTACCCGGACGACGTAATCAAACGATTCCAAAAATATCGCATAGTGTTGCGTTCGCATCGCAGATAAAGTAGGTAAGCCCTTATGTGGCGAAAATATTTGCGCAATGGCTTTGTTATCAGTGACTAAGGTAAAGCGTCTCCCAAACACATATTGATAAAACTTTTTGACACCAAATATAATTGAGTACGCTTCTTTATCCACCTGACTGTATCACTGTTAGACATCGTTTAGTGTTTGCGAGGCAAACTGAATTGGCTTTTCTGTACCGTCCGGAAAAGTGTGGCTTAAACACGGCTCCAACGCCTGTGGGCGGTAGCTGCGGATCGTAACGTGTCAAAACTGTGTCTGTTTGCATCATTTCTTTAATTCGCTTGAATGATTCACAACATTTTTTGTCGAACCTAAAAACTGAACTTTTATGTAGCAACTGATTCAATGGATATACGACGTCACTAAGGTTTGGAATGAATCTTCCGTAGTAATTAATTAGTCCAAGAAAAGCCCTTACCTCGTTCTTAGTTGACGGTTGTTTCATATCTTGGATGGCTTCCACTTTCGTTTTCTGTTTTCGTATTCCCATTTTGCTGATTTCGTAACCGCAGTACTCGATTTTGTCGCGAAGAAATTCAGACTTTTCTAAATGCACTTCTTCAATTCTTTGTAAATGGGTAACGTCGTCCCTCGCCGTGATCTTTATGTCGTCCAAAAATACTTTAACGCCCGCTATATCTCCCAACAGCTGCTCCATAAACCGCTGCCACTTTGCAGGTGCACTCGCTATCCCAAACATCATACGCGTCGGTTGAAATAAACCCTTGTGTGTGCTTAGCGTCAACAGCTCTCGATTATCCGGATGAATTTCAAGCTGTAGGTACGCTTTTGCCAAGTCGATTTTTGTAAATTTTTCTCCACCCGCCATTGAACTGAAAAGCTCGTCGATAGTGGGTAAGGGGTGCTCGTCGACAATTAGTGCTGGATTGACCGTGAGCTTATAATCCCCACAGATACGAACCGTACCATCTCTCTTTGGCACTGCAACGGTCGGCGTAGCCCATTCTGATTTATCGACCTTCACTAGCAACCCTTCACGCACCTGTTTGTCTATTTCATTCTCCACTGCTTTCATTAGTGGGAATGGCACTCGCCACGCCCTTATAAACTTCGGCACCGCGTTCTCTTTTAAGTAAAGCCTTTCTTGGTGACCAGTAATTGTACCTACATTTAATGCTGATAACAGCGGAAACTTTCTTAATATGTTTTGTAGCTTCACTTCAGCACTTCCACTCGATAAAACGTTGACTGTCGTACGTTCTTTCAATTGGTTCTCTGTAATGTTTTTCCAATCTATATCGATCTCCCGAAGCCATTCTCGCCCAAGCAGAGGTTGGCGATCGGAGCGCACGATGTACATTCTTGCTCGCACTGGCGCTTTGACTTTCACTGTTACACATATATAGCCTAAACATTCCAGCTTTGTTTGACAATAGCTGTACAATTGCAAGTCACTTTTAATTACTGGTTCGTCATTAAAGTATTTCTTTGCTTCTTTCAAGCAAAGATGTCAATTTCGAAGTTGATATCAATATTATTTATCTTTAGTGTACACATAACTTTCGGGTGTAGAGTGTTGCAGTTGAGTTCTAGCAAATCGTAAACATAATCTCCCTTTGTTTTTCTATGACGTTTACACTTTTCGTTTCTTTTAGGCACATCTTTCGCAGATGGCCCCGTTTTTTGCAGTAGTGACATACAACATCCCTGAACTTGCACTTATTGGCCATGTGATTGGCATTGCCACATCGGAAACATTGTTTGCTTTTTATTGCTTTATCTTTCTCTCGTGCCGTTCTTTCTTGACATTTTGTGTTTGCAGTTTTCTTTTCAGGTGATTTTGCTCACTGTTTTTCGTGTATTTTATTAACCTCGCTGCGCGTCGCGCCTTTTTGATGTAGCTCGCACCCTTCCTTCCCCGCTACTTCGTAGGCCTTTGCTATATATTGATCGCATCATCTAATGTTAAACTTTTCTTTTCCAGTAACCGATTTTGGATTGCTTGGGTTTTCAAACCAAATACTAATTGATTCCGTAATGCAATATTCAAATAGTCACTAAAATTGCAACCTTTTGCCAGAAGACGCAAAGCCACTAAAAACTGTTCGAACGACTGACGATTTTGCTGCTTCCTTAGATGGAATCTATAGTTTTCTAAAATTTCGCTGGCCTTTGGGTTGAAGTTGTTTTCCAACGTCGATACGATCTCCTCGTACTGCAGAGTCTCTGGCTCGTTGGGCAGCACTTTATCGCAAAGCACATTGTAAGTCGTGGCTCCCATATAATGGAGTAGCAGTTGACGTTTTTTTGTTGCGTCAGCATTGAATAGTGATAACGCGGTTTCGAATCGTTTCACCCACCGGTTCCATGGCATAGTTTTCACATCGAATGCGTTCAAATGGGTCGCAGCTATTTGTGAACCTATACTGTCTCCTCTCTATCTATGACATTCGTATGCTTATGCTACATTTACATTTATATATGACAGCTACTTATTGCATAAAACACACTAAAAGCTATTTAAATACCTAATTATAATCTTATCGCTACACCTATATCGCACAGGTAACTAAACCACAGGAGTTACAATATATTTTTGTATATATTAAATAATGCCACGTACTTATGCTTTCAGATGCAAGAAGTAAAATTATCCGAAGATTGTATTCTCGCGAGTTTCAGCGGTATTTAAAAATCAGTGTAAGCCCAAATGTAATGTAACAGTCCGCGTTTTGGGCCATATGCATATGTATTTCATTTTATCCTTTGCCTTCGAATTATCGAACTGGTACAAACCTTGTATTTATTGAAAACATTGATTTGTAAAGTTTTGAAGTATTTTATGGATTTGCGTGGTTGACAACGCGCGTAGGTAAAGCAGCGCGTGCCGCTGATACATAAGTTGACAAATGTCAGCAAAGCAAAAACTAGATACAAAGTTAAGAATTTTTCAAGGTTTTGAACTGTGAGTTCGCCTGCAAAATTAAACTTTTTTTTTCGCTACTTCCCGCCTGAACTTGTACCCTTAAAATCAAATCAATTTAAGTTTAAAATGTTTTGTCGGGTTCGCGAACATTCGAATCCTGATCCTGCCAACGACCCTTGGTTATAACCTCGCCAAGCGCCAGCAGATCCTGACCCTGCCGCCTCCAATAAGCCACCACCGCGCTAATTTGTACTCGTCACGCCTATCAGCAAAGAGCCGCCCCAATCCACGTGAAGAAGAGCCGACCCCCTTACTAATCGTGTTTCTGTAAATTACCGTTACATGGTTGGTGGGCGTGGTTATTACCCGATTTCAAAGATTTTCTACCGATTTCTTAGCTAGACCCCAGGCAAGCTCGTACTAAGTTTGCCAAGGGTTGGTAAGCGGCTACTGAGATACAGAATTTCGTCGTAAATGGTCGGGGTCCCGCCCATTTTCAAAATATTTCATAGTAATATTATTTTTTACCAAAATTCTACTTCACTACAGAATTTCGTTTAAATATTTAAATTTTTGCTCGAGCTATCGACTTACCTTTTCATTTTGAGCATTTTTATACCCGAGCGCACTTGTGCACAAGGGTATATTAATTTTGTTCACATAACGGTTGTTTGTAACAGCCAAAACGAATCGAGATAGATATAGACAAATGTATACATAAATGCTCAGAATGAATAGAGAAATCGATTAAGCCATGTCTGTCTGTCCGTCCGTCTGTCCGTCCGTCCATGTACACGATAACTCGAGCAAAAAGTTAGATATCTCAAAGAAATTTGGTATGTATTGAAAATGGGCAAAATCGGACTGTAACCACGCCCACTTCCCAAATAACGGTAATTTCCAGAAATACGAAAACTGCGATATTTTAGTAACTACTGAAGATAATTCACTCAAAATTGATATTTACAATAATTTTTAGACGAAAAATAAGAATATTATAAATTTTTGGAAAATGGGCGTAGCCACGCCCACTTGTGGTTACATGTGTATATCTTGGTAACCGCTGCACCAATTTCTTCCACGCTTGTCACAGGTGTTAACCTTGGTACAACATACGAAATGGCCGAAAATTTTTAAAATCGAATAATAATGCAGAGAAATACAAAATCTTTGATAAATCAGTAAATTTTAAAGCTAATTCACTCAAAATTGATGCTTACAACAATTCTTTACCAAGAAATGCGTTTATGATAAAATTTTGGAAAATGGGCGTGGCACCGCCCACTTATGATCACATATATGTATCTCGGTAACCGTTCGACCAATATGTACCAAATTCGGTGTGGTTATTGTGCTTGCCACATAAAATCAAAATGTTGAAAATTATTGAAATCGAACTAAAATTACGGCCGCTTTTCATATAACAGTAAATTTCAGAAATGATTGAAACTGCAATATTTCGAAATTTAAGGACGCTAATTTACTCAAAATTGATACACCCCGGCTTACCATCTAGCGGTAGCTTTCGGAAAGGTGAAAAAACATATATTTAATACTTGCGCCGGGTATTTAATGTTCGGCTCCACCAGAAATTAGACTTTCTTACTTGTTGATTATAGGTTTGTTCCACCCCACCCCTCGGGAACCCGCGGGTGTCCAAAACAGCTCATAAAGCGTTCCTCACGCTATAAAAATTGGTAATAGAGAGGGAATACGTTCCACTTTTGGATCGTAAATGTCTTCGACTTCGTGCCCGAAACAGCCCGGCCATAACAGCTGCTGTTTTTTTTACTTCCGAACGCATATTTTATAAAACACAAAATTGGAAAATACCACTAAGTTAAAAAAAAAAGATAAATACAAATAAAATCATTGTATTTCAACTGATTTGTTAATTCCGGATACGAAATGAATTTTTTGCGTTCCTCACGCTCTGGGCACTTTTAGCACATTTTGACAAATTTTTGACACTTGTTAGAGAGTAATTTATTTTTAGCGTGTGGAACAAAGCGTTTACCGATCTCGATTCGTTTTGGCTGTTACAGTGTTGCCAACTTTTAAGTTTCAAAAAGCCCCAAAACTTGGAAAAAAGCGTTTCTCCGCACTAAAAGCACTAAATTTTTTTGAATATAAGGATACTTTTTTCATAACAGTTTGTATTTAACAAAAGTAACAAAATAAACAATATTTACAAGTATAAATCAATACACGAAAACCTTTTCGATTGCATAACGATTGAACACACATGCCATGATGACTCATGCTTACGAAATAAATAATACCGAGATACTGCACATTAAAACTGATATACATATCTCGAGAAAGAAAAATCGAATAGCAACAAACTGAAAAGAATTTTAAAGGGCAAGAGTAATACTAAATGATGCCTTAACTAGAAAAAAAATTGTTATTTTCATAATATAACCTCAATGTGCCAAAAAACCGTTAGGACATCTCACGTCCTAGAGCAACTCTGCGGTCATATTTGGATTCAATATCAAAAAATCTACAAGTTGCGATGTGTTTTACTGTGTTAGCAATCAAAATATGTAAAAATAATTAGAAAAGAAATACTTAAGTTACCTGCATACTAGCATTTTCAAGATGAATACAATTTAACCAGAACGTGGGTTTTCAATTTCAGCTTTTTATCAATCATGGCTGCATTTTAGTACATTTAAATTTGTAGATTCTTGTAAATTCAATGCCGCCACAGCTTTAAATATTTCAAATAATTTTATGTTTTAACTATCTATGAGAAATTTGAGTTCAGAAAAAAAGCACTAAAAAAGGCACTAGGCACCAAAGCATTTTTTTGGCGTTTTTGTTTTCAAAAAGCACTAAATCTGGTGCTTACAGCACCAAGTTGGCAACTATGGTTACAAACAGTGTTGACAGGTCTTCGGCATGAGAAAGCCTCCCTCTTGGTCTGAAAAAACGTCATTTCCTACCCAAAAACGTCTTCTTCAAATGAATGTACAAAAAGTTGTTCTTATTAAACTTTTATTGTATACAAAGGTACATATGTACGTAAGGTTTATTAATTATTGGTATCATTTCGACAAAGAACATTTAAAATTCATTGTTTGAGATCGTTAATATAAAAATCATTTTATACATACACTTGTAATCAGCTGATTAAGTCATCAACATTTTGGCTGTTTCTCTTTTGTTTATTATTTTTCCATAAAAACCAAGCTCATTATATATATAAAATATAAATCCACATTTCAAAATTTGTGCAAAAATTATAAAAAATCGGCAAAGCTTCAGCTAGATATATAGATGATAGCCCATTAAATTTCAGGGCAATAATGTGCAAGTTTAAAGGTGCTAAATAATCGCGTTGATTTTTAATAATTTTTTTTTCTTGTAGACATTTGGTTAGGGGGTCGGTTGTCGAAAATGCTAAATTACGATCTGCTAAGAAGGAG